ATTTGGGAGGCGGAGTTTACAGTGAGCCAAGATTGCTGTACTCCAGTCTGCGCAGCATGAGTGAAACGCCTTCTCAAAAAAAAAAGGCCGGGTTTGGTGGCTCACGCCTGTAATCCCAGCACTTTGGGAGGCCAAGGCGGGTGAAACACCGTCTCTACTAAATATAAAAAATTAGCTGGGCATGGGGGTGTGTGCCTGTAATCCCAGCTATGCGGGAGGCTGAGGCGGGGGAATCACTTGAACCTGGGAGGCAGAGATTGTAGTGAGCTGTGATTGCACCACCACACTCCAGCCTGGGCGATAGTGAGACGCCATCAAAAAAAAAAAAAGAAAGAAAAGTAAGTCTTAGATGGCAAATATCTCCAGTGGCGTTTCCATGGCTCCCTTTCCTCTGAGAACTGAGGGTTAGGTGTGAACTCCCTGACCCCGGGTGCGGAGCCAGCCCGCAAGGAAATGCTCCTCCCTGGGCACCTGCCCCAGTGTGCTCATGTTTCAGGGAAGAGATGGAGATGGAACCCAGGTGCTCATGTTTCAGGGAAAAGCTGCTGCTGAGAGAATCTGATGGCACAGGGCGAAGCCAATTCTCCCTTTGCTGCTTTTCAGTGGGGCAGCCAGAGAGCCTGTGACGTCCACGCCTCAGGCCTGGCAAATGCAGAACTTCCCTGGGGCATTTTCCACACACGTGAGCTAAGCACCTGCCACATCATGAAGTAAATAAGGAGAACATTTTTCAGGTTTTTGCCTGCCCTAAAATTAGCACCCCCCTGGCTGGATGCAGTGGCTCATGCCTGTAACCTCAGCACTTTGGGAGGCCAAGCTGGGAGGATCACTTGAGATCAGGAGTTCGAGACCAGCCTGGCCAAACCCCATCTCTACCACAAAATACAATTAGCTGAGCATGGTGGCATGTGCCTGTGGTCTTAGCTACTCGGGAGGCTGGGGCAGGAGAATTGCTTGAACCCGGGAGGCGGAGGTCGCAGTTTGCCAAGATCGTGCCACTGCACTCCAGCTTGGGCAATGGAGTGAGACACTGTCTCAAAGAAAACCAAAAAAGGGCCGGGCACGGTGGCTCATGCCTATAATCCTAGCACTTTGGGAGGCTGAGGTGGGTGGATCACCTGCGGTCAGGAGTTCAAGACCAGCCTTGCCTTCATGGTGAAACCCATCTTTAAAAACAAAAACAAAAACAAAAACTAGCACCCCCAGCAAATGTTTTTAAATGGTTGTCTGCACTTAAGGCAAGTGAAGCCATCGCGTCCGCCACATGCCTGAGGCCACCGCTGTGTGTTGTAGGGCTGCCTGACCATGGTCTCCAGTGAGAAAGAAGTGGCACCCAAGCGACGCTGACCATCCCTGTGCAGACCACAGAGCAGACCCTGGCACCAGGAAGGAGCACGTTAGCGTCTCGTCCCAACTGGAATTGTAATAAATACATCTAAATAAAACGTGCCTTGGGAGTGTACCGACCTTTCTACACTAATACCTGAGTCGTCTTTGCACTAAAGCTGGATTGAAGAAAAAGCTCCAGGAGTACCCCTGAGGCCCCAGACATGCCCAGGTGTGGGCCCCTTGCGCTGGGGTGTCAGCTTTCCCTGTGCGCAGGGAGAGGCCAGAGGGGGCTTAGGAATGGATGGCGAGTCCACTGGCCCTCCGGTGCCCCGTGCCTCCCCAGACTTGGTCTCAACACTCGACCAGCGATGCAGGAAGAGAGGGGCGGCTGGGCTTCCCTTTCCCCAGGGCCAGAGTGCCAGACAGTCCTAGCCCACTGGCATTTTGGCGTCTCCCGATGGCTGTCCCGTTGCCTTGCGTCTCCTTGAAAGGGGCGGCTCCCATGAGCTGCAGTCAAGGCTGGCGGCCAGGGCTCCAGCATGCGCCTGGGATGCGGTGACGGCCTCCGGCGTGGGAGTCCACATCAGACCCTGAGAGAAGCTGGTGCCCGGTCAGGGAGGAGGGCCGGCGAGAGGCCGGTGCTGTGTCAGGGAGGGGAATCCCACCCTCCTGGGCTTTAGTGGCGCTTAGGAGTTTGGGATCTTCTCATGGAGGTTAACAGTGCCGAAAATGCACAGAGCTGAGAACTCCCAGCAGTGCGTGGTGACTCTCCCTTCAGCTGGAGTGCCGACCTGGGGGAAATGTGGCTTTGTGTGCTTGGCGAACCCCCACGCCGGAGCGTAGTGCAAGTGTGTGGACCAGCACTGAAGCCCAGCGGGGGCACCCGTGTGTGTTCGCAGGGAGGGTATAAAGATTTTCCAGGGGGTGATATTGGAGCTGGGCGGGGGGCGAGCAGGAGGGACAGGGAAGGCTGAGGCCCCAGAGCTGGCTCTGCTGAGGGCCCTTGCTGAGCTGGTGACGGTGACGGCCTTGCGGCTGCGCCCAGATCCTTGGTGAAGGTGTGGAATTTGGGCCTTCTCTGAACTGTGCATAGGGGATGGGCCGGCCCCGCTCTGTCTGGAGCTTCTGCAGAGCAGGGCAGCATTTGACAAGGTGAGGGCTGGAAGGAGACCCCAGCCGGGAGCTGCCACCTTCGCCCCGTCCTTTCTCCACCTCTGTCATGGCTGCCTGGAGTCTGCAGGCGGGATCTTCGTGCTGCCTACTGTGTGAAACACCAGGGGATAGGCCTCGGTGACTTTCAACCAGTGACACATCGGACAGCTGTGTGGAGGGGAGGGAACCGCAGTGCCTGAGGGACAGAGCATCAGGGCTGTTTTCACAGGAGCAGTGGGGGCCGCCACATTTCCAGGCAGACTTTCCACTTGCATCGAGGTGTCAGGAAAATCAGCTTCCACACATGCGCACTGCCAGGCCTGGCAGGGGCACCGAGGACCACACCAGGAGGAGGACACCAGCAGGGATGTCACCATGAGGTTGGGAGCCTTCTTTGTACCAGGGTAAGAGGATGGGGACGTTTTCTTGGGAACTCGTGGCCTTTATTCTTTGGGGGAATGGAAATAGCTTTGCCTTTCTTCTGATTGAGGCAAAAATCATTAAAGAGTAAGGCTTTTTGGAAGCTGCCACCGGTGACTGTGGGCCCCTCTCCTCCGAGCCTCACTGTCCTCAGCTGCAGAATGACGATGGCAGGCGTTCATACCCCACGGGGATGCTGGGAGCAGGTTTCAGAGTCTGTAAAGCAAGTAGCAGAGTGCTGAGCACATGGTCCCCATTCAGGACGTCTGTTAATAATTGTGGAAAAATAACACACGCTCACTGTAGAAAATACAGGAAAGCATGAAGAAAAGAAAATTCACCGTTATTCCACCCCCGCCCCGATTTCCACTCTGAGTCCTTCCAGGAGTTCTTCCATCGGTGTAGACAAAGCCCATGGCAGAATCCCCGTGTAGATGACTCTGCTGGGGGCTGGGGACCTGACTTCCTTGCCAGCCACAAGGCCACTGTAAGGCCTGCCTCACAGGGGGGTCGAGGGTTAGGGACACCTGCCTGTCAGAGGCATTTGAGCCAGAGCAACTCCATCTTGAACAGGAGCTGGGTAGCGTGAGGCTGAGACCTGCTGGGCTGCGTTCCCAGGAGGTTATGCATGCTTAGTCACAGCAGGATGAAACAAGAGGTCGGCACAAGACCCAGGTCCCAAAGACCTTGCTGATAAAACAGGCTCCTTTAAAGAAGCCGGAGCCGGGCGCGGTGGCTCAAGCCTGTAATCCCAGCACTTTGGGAGGCCGAGGCGGGTGGATCACGAGGTAGAGAGATCGAGACCATCCTGGTCAACATGGCGAAACCCCGTCTCTACTAAAAAAATACAAAAAACTAGCTGGGCGTGGTGGCGCGTGCCTGTAATCCCAGCTACTCAGGAGGCTGAGGCAGGAGAATTGCCTGAACCCAGGAGGCGGAGGTTGCGGTGAGCCGAGATCGCGCCATTGCACTCCAGCCTGGGTAACAAGAGCGAAACTCCGTCTCAAAAAAAAAAAAAAAAGAAGAAGAAGCCGGAGCCAGGTGCAGTAGCTCATGCCTACAATCCCAGCACTTTGGGAGGCCAAGGCAGGTGGATCACCTGATGCCAGGAGTTTGAGACCAGCCTGGCCAAAATAGTGAACCCCATCTCAACTAAAAATGCAAAAATTAGCCTGGTGTGGTAAAGCATGCCTGTAGTCCCAGCTACTCAGGAGGCTGAGGTAGGAAAATTGCTTGAGTCCAGGAGGTGAAGGCTTCAGTGAGCTGAGACCTGGGCAAAAGATCAAGACGCCGTCTCAAAAACGAACAAAAAAAGGAAATAAAGAAACCGGGAAACCCATCAAAACCAAGATGGTGATGGGAGTGACCCCTGGTCCTCACAGCTCATTATATGCTAATTATAATGTGTGAACGTGCTAAAAGACTCCCACCAGCGCCAGGACAGTTCACAGATGCCATGGAAGTTACCCTGTATATTCTAAAAAGGGGAGGAACCCTCAGTTCTGGGAATTGCCCACCCCTTTCCCGAAATGTCATTAATAATCCACCCCTGTTTAGCATTTAATCAAGAAATAACCGTAAAAACCGGCAGCCTGCAGCCCTTGGGACCGCTCTGCCTATGGAGTGGCCATTCTTTATTCCTTCACTTTCCTGATAAACTTGCCTTCCCTTTATGGATTTGCCTCAAATTCTTTCTTGAGCAAGATCCAAGTACCCTCTTTTGGGGTCTGGATTGGGACTTCCTTTCCCATAGCACCACGTGACTGAGGAGGAAACCGGACAGTGAGCTTGGCCAGGGCCGCCGGGGCTAGGGCCCAAGGGTGTCGTTCGTAGCCTGGGCTCATATCCTAGGCTCGGAGCTATGGAACTAAAAAAGTCCTTTTTTGTTTCTTTGTTTGCTTACGCTAGTCTGAGTTAAATTTCTCCTTGCCCAAGTGAAATCTTTGACTGAGATTTAGAAATAACAAACCCAGGCCAGGATTTGTACACGGACCGCTTGGTAACTTGTTTAATTAACGTGTTGAACATAGATTTTTTTCTCTTTCTGTTTATGAGCAAGCATATATGTATTAAAGAGAATTTTGAAATTAAGAACATTAGTGCTTGCCTTGGCAGCATATATACTAAAACCAGAATGATAGAGATTAGCATAGCCCCTGCACAATGATGATGCACACATTTCCATATAAAAATCTATTTTCAAAAAGAAGGCCAGGAGTGGTGGCTCACACCTGTAATCCCAGCACTTTGGGAGGCAGAAGCAGGCGGGTCATAAGGTCAGGAGTTCAAGACCAGCCTGGCCAACATAGTGAAACCCCATCTCTACTGAAAGTACAAAAATCAGTCAGGCGTGGTGGCGGGCACGTGTAGTCCCTGCTACTTGGGAGATGGAGGCAGGAGAATCACTTGAAACTGGGAGGCAGAGGTTGCGGTGAGCTGAGATGGCGCCATTGCACTCTGGCCTGGGCAACAAGAGTGAAACTCTGTCTCAAAAAATAATAATAATAAAAAAGAAAAATTCATCTTTAATATCAGCGGCTGTCCAAAGGCAATCCCTATCAACATTTTATTTGATATTTATATAACTAATATAGTAATTTCTTTCCATGTCATTTGGCTGCTTAATTTTTTTTATTTTTTGAGTCTTGCTCTGTGCCCAAGCTGGAATACAGTGGCACGATCTCAGCTCATTGCAACCTCTGCCTCCTGCATTCATTTGATTCTCATGCCTCAGCTTCCCAATTAGCTGGGATTACAGGCACCACCAATCCAGCTAATTGTTTTTTTAGTAGAGGCGGGTTTCGCCATGTTGACCAGGCTGGTCTCAAACTCCTGGCCTTAAGTGATCTGCCCACCTCAGCCTCCCAAAGGATTACAGGTATGAGCCACTGTGCCTGACCTGCTTAATTCTTTATTACTTAACTTCACTCATCATGATAATGTGAAATTATATTTGATTTTCGTTCAGTCTCCTGAAATATATTTCCCCAAATCCTTGGAATCTTCAAAGTGATGAATGTCTTTTTTGTATGTTAATAAGGCGGCTGGGGGCTCTTAGCTTCAGGGTAGGAAGGGGGCTGGTCACCAGAAAGCAGAAGGCAGCGTTAGAAAGTTGGTATTCAGCCCTACCCTTGACCTCTGGGAAGGGAGAGGGGCTGATGGTAAAGCTGATCCCCAGTGGCTAATGATTGAACCATGCCTATATGAAGAAGCCTCCGTAAAAACCCAGGGGACAGGGTTCAGAGAGCTGCTGGTAGCATGGAGGTTCCTAGAGGGTAGCGTACCTTCACTCTACGGGGATAGAAGCTCTTGTGCTTGGGACCCTTCCAGAACGCTCCCCATGCATCTCCGCATCTGGCTGTTCATCCGTGTCCTTTAATATATGCCTTGTAATAAACCAGTAAATGTGTTTCTCTGAGTTCTGTAAGCTGATCTGGCAAATGAATTCAACCCAAGGAGGGGCGGTGGGAGCCCCAGCTTAGCAGGTCAGTCAGAATCACAGGCAACATAACCAGGGGCAGGCAGTCGGCGTTGGAAGTGCGGATCAGGCTTGGGGGCTGAGTCCTCCGTCTGTGTGCTCAGATGCCATCTCCAGGTGCCGCCCTCAGACTCGAATGAGAGGACACCCAGCTAGTGTCCGCTGCAGAACCGATTGCTTGTTTGGTGGTGGGAGAAGTACTCTGTGTTGATTCTTGAGAGAAGAGGACACTGTGCTTTTCCCTCTACCCTCAGGGTGGCTAAATACACCCATGCAATGAGCTGTGGGCGGAGTTCTGAAGATCTGTGAAAGGAGCAACATGCAGGTGTGCAACTGAGCTTCACGCCTCTTCATGGGTCGCATGCTCAAAAAATATTGGGGTTAGCGTGGTCTGAGGGTGGAGTTTTCCTCCCTCTGACATCAAACGGTGAAATAGAGGACACAAAAAACCTCACTGCACCTCCTCTGTCGACGGCCACAGCCACCCCAGGGTCTGCGGTCTCTTACCAGGAAGGGAAGCGCTGTCCGGCCGTGGCCTCAGACGACCGGCTCACGGCGTTAGAAGAATACGTGTCCGTTTCTTGTCTTCCAGAGCTGGCTTCTGTGTGTTCTTTAGGAAAGCATTCCAGCGAAAGGTTACTGAGGACGGGGCGTCCTGAGGCGGGTCTGGCCTTCTGTCCCAACATGGCCAGGAACTCAGGTTTTAGGGTTTCTCTGGGGTCCCCTAGACCATGAAGGGGTCTGTTCAGTTGGCAGGGGTTTTAGGGTTTCATTATGTATCTAAAGGTAAAAGTAAACATCACGTTGAGGGAATACAACTTTTTGGGTCAATGGGGAACCTTTGGGAAACCCCAGCATGGGAGAAGGTCGACAGAGGTCACTTCACCCGTATCGGGAGGCTGTGTTCAAAGCATCAGCTGCCGTCCAGCCACGTTCCGACACTGCTTGCAAGATCAATAGAAACTAGGAAACAAGCAGCAGAAACAGAAAATTACAAGCCCTCTCCACACACAGGACTGGGGACAAACACTCAGCAGCTCGGCATTACTTGGGGACAGAAGCCCAGGCAGCTCTGGCCAGCAGGGCGACCCTCTCGGGCCCCTTCCGCCCTCCGTGCTGTGGAAGCTTTGACGTTCGCTTGCTCAGTGAACGGCACTGCTGCTCGCTCCCTCGCTTGGAGCTGGAACACTCACCATGGGGGTAAGGCTCTCTGCTCGATTCTTCGAGCAAGTAAAGCCAAGAACCTGAGCCCGGAGCCCAAGCTGGGCACGGAAAAGGCCCCTCCTTAGGGCCACCCGTAAACTCTACAACAGCAAATCCTGTTACAACCTTATAAACATTATTTTTTTTATCAAATAAAGCACAATAGGCACTTAAAACAGTGCCTGAACATTTTCAAGAATACATATTTTATCTCTTTAAATGTAAAGGAGTTCAATTGAGTAATGAACGATTCACGAATTGGGCAGACCCCTGAATCAGCAGATTCAGAGAGACTCCAGGGATGCCTCCTGGTCGGAACAGATTTATAGACAAAAAAAAGGGAAGGGACGTATGGGAACCGGAGGCGAGGTACGGAGGCAGGTTGGTCGCAGCTCGGCGTTTGCCTTATTTGGACGCAGTTTGAACACTCGGCAGCGTATGAGGGAAGCGTAGCTCTGGGATTGGCCAAGACTCCGCCACTGTTGCAGGTGCACAATCCTCAGTTAGGGTTTCAATCTTGCCTACCCACTAAGTTAGGTTGCAGCCTGTCCACAAGGACTCAAATACGGCAGTACTGAGTCCTTCTCAGGCCATATTTAGTTTGCTTTAATAGTTCCCCTCTTTTGGTCATTTTCTCAATTTTGAGAGATTGACCAAAACTTGAGTCACTGATGTCACTGTTGTTAGGGACAAGCTGCACAGGCTAACACCTTCCCACGCTCTGATTGCTCTGCAGCTGCATTCCTGAACCCCTACCTAGATGCCACAGCAAGGCTGCCCCACGTGCTACAATTAAGCAAAGCCCGATGACAGCCCCCCGGGCAGCTGGAGGGAGGACAGGGAAGACATATGTTGGTCATCCATGCTTGTAAATTCCTGTTTGACAGAGATCTGTAAAACCCTCCTGGTTTCTCTCTTTTTTAAAAAGATTGCCACCATGAAAGTCACAGGATGATGTATTGTAGGTCTGTTACAGGTTAACAAACTGGGTGCCTGTTACCAGCGGATAGATGATGCTCCACTCACCCCATATAAACCCCTCATTTTGTAAGCTCAGGGCTGCCTCCTGTGACTGTTATGGGCAGCCCAGCAGGTTAATAAAACTGCCTTACCTGCGTTGGGTCTATTCTCCTTTCTCTCAGCTACCCTTACAACTATCACCGTTGGACTACCCTTAGAACTATCACCGTTGTAAACGTACTTATTTGGTCTTGAAACCCACTGGAAACAGTAGAACAGTGAGTTTTGCAGAGGTAGGAACAAGGACTGAGTAGGGGGTCCCTCCTTATGCTGAACATCGGGTTTACAGGAGAAAAACAAAACCTAGTTTGTTCTGGCCCAGGATCTACGTGTGTCCTTAAAACCTTAGTTCGCTTATGTCACATTTAGCATGAGCGAGTCCATTTTTGTTTAACTTAGTCTGTTGGGACTAGCGCATGAGCTCAGTCCAAAACAATGGCCCCCCCATAATTCTGTTTGAATACATCCCCCTTCTTGTCCAGGTTCTCATTTAGGTGAGAGTGTGACCAAAACTTAGGGCGTTCACACCACTCTCAGTTACCATCATTTTTTTTTTTTTTTTTTTTTTGAGACAGAGTCTTGTTTTGTCGCCAGGCACCAGGCTGGAGTGCAGTGACACAATCTCAGCTCACTGCAACCTCTGCCTCCCGGGTTCAAGCAATTCTCCTGCCTCAGCCTCCCGAGTAGCTGGGACTACAGGCACACGCCACCGCACCCAGCTAATTTTTGTATTTTTAGTAGAGACGGGGTTTTACCATGTTGGCCAGGATGGTCTCGATCTCTTGACCTTGTGATCCGTCTGCCTTGGCCTCCCAAAGTGCTGGGATTATAGGCGTGAGCCACCGCGCCCGGCCCATTTTGGGTTTTTGGGTTTTTGGTCTCAGCATGTCATTCATAAGTTACGGTGTCCTCATGGTCACACGTTCTTTCAGCGTGTGTCATTCCAGTTAAAGAGAGACCATTTGGCCTTCTAGAGGTGGCTGCATGCAAACATTTAAAACCTTTGAGAGGGCCAGGCACGGTGGCTCACGCCTGTAATCCCAGAACTTGGGGAGGCCGAGGTGGGTGGATCATGATGTCAGGAGCTCGAGACCAGCCTGGCCAACATGGTGAAACCCCGTCTTGAATACAAGATGTCTTGAACACAATACTAAAAATACAAAACTTAGCAGGGCATGGTGGTGGGCACCTGTAATCCCAGCTACTCGGGAGGCTGAGGCAGGAGAATCACTTGAACCCAGGAGGCAGAGGTTGTGGTGAGCAGACATCAAGCCACTGCACTCCAGTGTGGGTGACAGAGTGAGACTGTCTCCAAAAACTAACAAACAAAACAAGAAAACCTTTGAGAGAATGCAGCACCCTGGGAGACTGTTATTATGATGACGGAGAAGATAATACCAAGAGTTTGGAGTATGCTCCTTACTTAGGGTCCCCATGAACCAAACCACCTGAAATCAAATAGATCAAAGAATGAGCTCAATAAAGAGTCTGCTCGCTTAAC